AACTTAATAGTTCTGCTTTCAACAGATAACTATTATTTATAAATCAACCTGAATCAAGCTTATGCTTGGTGATACATTTTCCACATTTTTGGCTGACATTTCTAGGTCCCTGAGCTGATCTTATTAGCTGAGTGATTTTAATCTCTGCCTTTAAAAAATGAAGGTCTTTGGTTCACCATTCTGTCAGTTGATTTATACCTCTGTACCCTTTTTATCATGCTACTCCTTCCCCAATGATAGTCAAGCGTGATTACTGGGCTTGGTCAACACTGCAGGTGTGCTTTTGACTTAATAGTCAAATATACACAGGTTTTTGTGATCAGTTTAAATGTCATGTAAATTTAATTTATGTGCTGACCTCTTGAAATATAATAAGCAACCTTTTAACCTTGGAAGGAGGATGCCACTGTATTTTCTGTCAGTTTAGGCAATAGTATTTGTAGTGTTAATGTTTGTGCCCATTACCCAACTGAAGCTCATTTAGCATTTGAAAGGAGGCCATGGAAATGTACTATAAATTTTCCTATGTGTTGCATAGTCCTAGTTTACAAATAAACTGGCATTTATATTAATAAGCTCTTAGAACGAACAGCTGAAGAAAATCTAATATACCATCCTCAGATCTCTACCTAAATTCTATTTCCAAAATATGTTCCTGCTGATGAATGGAATAAACAAAAAAGGAAATTTGGGGAGGGTGATTTTGGTCTAGTGATTTAGTAACTGCAAAAAATAAAATGTTCTACATCTTCACATAAATTGTGAAGTATATATATTTACATATATACATATATAATTTTGATAAACCAATAAAGATTAAACACTACAAAGTACACATTTGCCATATTTTTCCAAGAAGATTATCTTAGATGAATATAGTGTTAATAAATCCTAGTTTGGGTCCTGGAATGCTTTCAGGACATGTTGCCCAAATCTAAGAATGTAAGCAACTTTTTTAGCAGTCACCAAAATACTTACTGACAGCATCAAGACAAAATCCAATGGCTTAAGTAGGCATTTTTAAAAAATGGTTTTAAACTTCAGTAGTTTTCTACAAGGTAAAATTTCATACCCACAAAATAAGTCTTCTAACAGAGTCTGAGGAACATAGGTTTGCATCTACAGATCATAATGAAGATAAGGCACAAAGAAGAGACTGGTCTTCAATCTTTTATAGCCCTGAAACTTGGGACTGCCTAGTGATGTTAAAGCACAATGCTTAAAGCGGTCCATCAGCCTCTAAAACATGACTGTAATTGAGTTTCAAGTCTGTAGTTCATGCAGCAGATAGTGGGTTGAAAAGGTCTCATTAATATGAATGGCATAAGACATCTAGATAGCCAATTGGAGGTGCCCCGTTAAATACCATCCTTTGATTAACTCTGAAAGAAGCGCATGTTCTGGGAAACAATGAGAGGCCACCCGGAGATCTACTGAAAAGTCAGTGGTACCTCAGATGAACAGAAACTTATAAAGAATAAGTCCAAACACAGAGCAGACGAGCGAGTACAAAGAGGCGAGGTTGCTGTCTGGAGAGAAAAGGACACAGCAGTCCTGTCCTAAGCTTTGGGAAGGCACAGCCATTCCACCAGGGTCTTCCACCAACTTCCCCAGGAAGCCTGGGTGACTTTTACTCGCACACCACCTAATTCAAGAGAGGAGCTCCAGCTGAAGCCAACATTCAGCCTTATGTCAGCTGAAATGGCTTTTTCCCATCCTAAGCGTGGGAAAATGGGTCATCAAAAGGAAAACACATGGGTCATCAAAAGGAAAACACATGGGTCAGAGAGTCTTTCTTTGTGCCTCTCTGGCACTTTAAGCTTTGTTAAGTGTGAGGGATTTATTTTCCTTGTCTGAGCCTCAGTTTCCATCTGGGAGGAAATCATAATATTTATACCTAGCTCTTTCTTTAATGAACATGAACAGAATTTTTAAAATTTTAGTATTATGCAAACTGAGACATTAGATTAATAATCACTTGCTTCATAAAGCAGTTTTGATACAGAATATATTTACTAGATATTAGAAGTATTTTTGACAATAATTAATAAGTAACTTAATCTTCAGTGTTAACATATTCCCTTTAATATAGTCAATATATTTTCTTATTTCACACTGAGTTCACTCCTCTGGGTATATGGTTTTAAGCATCTGGAACTCAGGGACTCTGTGCCTGAAATTTTCAGCACCAGCCACCAGATGGCAGTATGTAGCAAATAAGTAACTTCCTCAGGTAGGGAATCCCTGTGCTTACAATTTGGGGAAAAATAAAACAGATATTTGCATAGTTTTGCATACTTAAAAAAAAAAAAAGAAAAAAGTCATAGTCTGCAACATGAAAACAACCAGTATCCAGTGATGTGTAATCTTCCCAAACTCTGCCATTTCCCTCAGATCTTTGACCTTCTCGATTCTCTTATGTTGCAGGTCAACTTGTTTTCTTCAGATAGTGCCTTGCCTTCATAGGTCAATCTTAGGTTGCTCCTACTCCTACTTTCCTAGCTGAGCTGCACAAACTTCACAAAACCCAAGAGGTGAATTTGCAACATAGGGTTCTCCTCAGGGTAGCATTGTTACGTCCCACATGTGCCAGTCTGAGTGGCTGCAGTTAACAAGTAAGCGCAGCGTCCAAACTGTTGAATTTTAAGGGTCAAGAAATGTCAGCTAAATCTTAAAGCCACCCGTAAATCTGTTTTCTCCACATTGCCGAATCCCATCACTTGATCAGAAACCAACTCCTTTTGGGCTGCCTGGGCTACAGTGGTCTCCTTCTGAAATCTTCTGATGTGCTGTTTTCCATGGCTTCATAGCCTTTAATATGTGTATGTATCACATGCCTGGTATTGCTTAAGAATGTGTTTACTGTAAGTAACAGAACAACTAGTTTATCAAGACCTAAAATTTGGAGTTTATATTTCTTATCCAATAAAGTGTCTGGGAGATCAGTGTCAGCTGCTCTGCAATTTATTTGGAAAGCTATCCCATGATGACAAGATAGCTACACCAGCTCTAAGCATAATCCACGTCCTCTCTTTCATGAGGACTTTTGGCCCAAACTGGATTATGTAAACATCTTGAGCATCAAGGGTGGGTAGAAGAGTGAGCTAAGATGAGCTTTTAGAGCCTTTTTTCTAAAGTAGACAAGCACCAAAGGAGTAGACAAGCACCAAGCTAACAAAGCCAAACAGTCTTCCTGTTAGATCCCCAACCATAAACTGGCAGTTATCCTCCCATATTTTATTTAACAACCTCAAATTTCAGTTGAGCTAATGAATTCCCAGGACAAGAGCACTGCCCAACTTTTCTTATAGCTCAGTGTGGCCATTTGATTATTCCTGTCAAGCAATAATAGGTTAAATGTGTCTACATACAACTTCAGGAAAAGCTGCCTCATTTTAAACTTAAATTTTGGTTCTTTTTCTTCTACTCTATTTTTCCTTCTTACTGTCTTGAAGTCACATATGTTGATTGTATAAACCACCCTGGAAGATAGGAAGGTCCTGAGAAAGGAGGTATTTTTACCTGGAAAACAAGATAGTCACAATGCAGATTATAGGTACAGTGTAGAGAATCATATTGGCCTCCGATGGTTTGTCTAGGTTTTATAAGAGAGAAACAAAATTATGCTTTTGTTGTAGTGGGTGGATCTGTGGCCTGGAAAATCATACACACAATCCCAGTCTCTGGAATCCATGAACATCACTCCTTGGAAAGAGCATTTGCAAGTGTTGTGAAGTTAAGCATCTCAGTGACAAGTGTCCTTGTAGGAGACACAGAGGAGAGCACAGACAGACGAGGAAAGGAACGAGACAAACATAGGGAAGGGAGATAGAAGAGGGAAGCAGAGGTTGGAGGGATGTACCTACCCTACTAGGAGTGCTGGCCGCCGCCAGAAGTTGGAAGAGGAAAGGGAGGAATCTCCTGAGAACCTCTAGAGGGCGCAGGGCCCTGCCAACACCTGGGTTTTTGGACCTGTGACCTTCAGGACCGTGAGAGGATAAATTTCAGTATTCGCCAAGTTTCCTAGAGTACAGCAATACTGGGAAAGAGATTCACTTGTTTAACCCAAAAATTTTGTTAGACTGAGTTTTAGTTTTCTGGTACTGCTAAAGGGACTTAATTCTAAGTAACATTTTCCCAAACTATATTTACATCTTAAAATCAAAGATAGCATCTTGTAATTATTTACCTACCCCACACTGTCTAGAGTACAGTGTGTGTATGGATTATTATTAGTAGATAACATTTAGATAACATTTACATTGTTATCAATTCATAAAGATACTGGTGTTTGGCAGGGATTGTTGGTTTTCAAGTAAAGCTTAGACGTATTTCAGGAATTATCACTATTAGTTACCATTATTACTGCCTAGTGAAACATTTAAGTTACAGTGAAAGGCGGGTGAAAAGAAAGTGAAACCCACGGGAATGAATCAGTGTTTGGATATGAAAAAGTGTGGACGTCTGCTGCTTGGTTTAGTTTACATCGTGAATGAAGCAGACATTTCTCTCTCACTCGCCAACACTAAAGAAGGACTCAGCAGGTTGCCTGCTGTGTTTGCGTTTAACCTGCTTTCCAAATTAATTGGTTTTCTTCCAGTTTTAGCATCTCGAAGACTTCCTCTGTCTTCTCTCATGCCAGTTGTGGTTCATTTCACTTGAATATTAATATACTTTTTATTGTTTTCATTATAGTACTCAATCAGGTATAAAAATAATCAATTGGAGCAACTTGATACTTTGCAGAAATGAAAATTAGGAGGCTTTTATGAAGATCTCAGGACTATGAGCACATTTAAAAGATGTCTTAACTCTAGAGCTTATTTTGCTGTTGAAGAGCTGTATGTTCCTGGAGAAGTAATTTTATGAATCAAGATCTCAATTTATGTACAATATAGGGGGAAAAGTATGCACACACATATACGTACATATTTTCCATTTAGTAGGGACTGAATACTTCCTGGAAACTACACAATCACATCTTTTCCTCTCAATTCTAGAAAGAAGGCATTTTGTACACAGTCTCCAAAGAAAAGCACAGATTTGCTGGAGTCATTTGTCTGTCATCACATATTAATATGTAGCAGAAACAGGATTCAATCCCAGATCCAGCCGAGTCCAAGGTAAGGTATTGCCAATTTATCCTTAAAAATTTCTCTTGGGTAAAAAAAAATTCTTGATCCACAATTTGTTGGAAAAATGAGCCATGACAGTGAGCAATTTCTGCATAATTGCTGCCTCTTCTCTTGTGAATTTGCCCTTTATAACTATCTTTATTTTATATATTGTCATTTTAATTCTACTTGAAAATTCTTTAGATTTATTCTATTACTCAAAAAAACTATTACCTGAAAATTATCAAACATGGACAACTATTAACTTGTGTCTCAATTTTCTAAGACTGCTTGGTTATTTGAAATCTATCAAGTTGTACTATTGATTTAGTGGCTCTTTTCCAAAGATTATATTTCAAAACAACAAAAGGAAACTTAGAGACCATGCTCTAAAAGTGCATCACTTTTGAAATAATAGAAAAGTCAAAGAAAAATTACTCATTCTAGCCTTACCCATGAATTCAGAAACTGTCAATATTTATTTTTTTCATTGAGTTTATTGGTACATTTTAGGTATACAGTACAGTTACGTTCATCATTGGGATCTTGTACCTTTACATGACAGGTCTTGGTTCTCATTTTTTCCCTTGTCCCTGCCCTCCCTTCACCCCTTCCACCCTTCCCTATTTATAGAAACTTTGTTTCCTTTTTTTTCATTTTCTCATATTTTTTTCTTGTCCTTTATTTCTTTCCCCTACCTTTCCCACTTCCCCTACACCTTTAGGCCTTTTCTTCCTATTTCACATTGTCAATTATACCATTTGGATTTTATTTACACTTAGTTTTTCACACCAGAGAAACTATTTGGTATTTACACATGTGAGTCTTATTTATTTCACTTGAGTGTATGACCTCAATATACATCCATTTTCCTATGAATGACTCCAGTTTCTCATCTTCTTTATCCAGTCTCCAACTGATGGGCAATTGGGCTGTTTCCAAGTTTTAGCTATTACAGACTGTGCCACTACAAACATGGGTGCACATATATCACTGCAGTATGATTCTTTTAATTCTTTTGGAAAGATACCCAGAAGAGCTATGGCTGGGTCGAATAGAACCTCTAGTCCTAGCTCTTTGAGGTATCTCCATGTTGATTTTCGTAGTGGATACACCAGTCGGCACTCCCACCAACAATGGAGAAGGGTTCCTTTCTCCCCACGACCCTGCCAACATTTGTTATTGGTTGATTTCTTGATAGCAGCCATTCTTTCTGAGGTGAGGTGGAATCTCAGTGTTGTTTTCATTTGCATCTCTCAAATGACCAGTGATGTGGAACATTTTTTCATATATTTATTTGCTGCTGTTACTTCTTTGTCTGAGAAATGTCTGTTCATTTCAGATGCCCATTTTTGAATTGGGTCTTTATATTGGAGGGGGGCTGGTTGTTTTGAGTTCTTTATATATTCTAGATAATAGTCCTTTGTCTGAAGAGCAGCTGGTAAATTTTTTTTTCCCCACATTATAGGTTGTCTCTTAGTTCTGTTGGTGGTTTCTTTTGCAGTGCAGAAGCTTTTTAATAAGATGAGATCCCAGTTGTTGATTCTTTGTGCTAGTCCCCGTGCTACTGAGGATTTGTTCTTAAAGTCTTTTCCTATGCCAGTGTCTTCAGGAGTTCTGCCTAACTTATCTTCCAGCAAATTTAGTGCAGAAACTGTCAATATTTAGAGACAGGGAAGTGGATGGATATACCCATGGAATTAGACCCACCTTTTCTAGAGGTGGAGAAGAGGCCACATGGCTGTCCGGGTGTTATACCAGGCACTGCAGATTTCCCTATCACCTACGCATGTCTCTGTTGGGTATGTACAAGGCACACACCATCAAAACCAGCTACTGGGCCTGTGTCCATTTTCCTTTTTATTGTATTGGACATAACATGTAAAATGCTCATGAAAGTTGGCATTAATATTTAAATTGTCAAGTGATTTAATAGTTTAGCCATCAAGCTGATAATTCCATACACTGTACCAATGTTTGAATCAATTTAATCTTTCAAAAAATAACTTCTTGGCTTTAAGACTAGCTAACTTAATCTGTAAAAGGCACTAGATAACACTGAAATCCTTTAAATACATGTACTCATAAAAGAAAAATATAAAAAAATAAAATATCAAACTGTAAAGGTAATAGAAATTAAATATTGAAAAAAAGTTGAAACTACTAGAATGCATCATGGAAAACAGTAACAACAAGAGTTCCAGAGCCCGCGTGGTTTTCCTGGAGACACCGAGAGCTATCTCGGTCCCACATGTAGCGCTCTGTCCCCTGGTGCCAGCCTGTGCCAAGGAAGGGTCTTCAGAGGCATCCATTCTTCCCTTAAGACAACAGGAACTCATGTCGGATCCTAAAGCCTGCCCATTATTTCCTAGAAGCAAGGCTGTCACCCACCTAAGCGGTCTTTCATACAGAGCCTCAGAATTTAATTAAACTCTGCATTATTTAGCTTCAATGTACATCATTTAAGTTAGTTTTTGTCCTTGGGGGTGTGGAGAATTCAAATGCTAACCTCTTGTATTTGTGCAGAACTTAAACTTTTAAGCATTTCCCCATGTATGACGTTACTTGATGCATAAGAAAAGTATGTGAAGTCTGCTTAGAGGGAGATGGTGTAACGCACTCTACCTGCGGAAGGGCGAATCTGCCTTGGCTTCATTATTCCCTAGATAGAGTGCAGTCCAGAGATGAGTGCGGAGCTCGTACCCAGCACTCACTGTTTGCCAGGTGCTGCTCTCTCCTCTGTAAGGATCAACTCACTAGGCTCCCCAAACCATCATAACACCCAGGTGTGATTGCTGTGTGCATTTTACAGATGAGGAGAGTAAGGCAGAGAGAGGTGGCGTACCTTGCTGTTGCTATACAGCTGGGCATCGCGGGAGAGTGGAGCCCTGGCTCTTCACCATTAAGCCACGCCTGTGTCCCAGGGATGAAGAAATGTAAGGCTGCGAGGAGCAGGCATGATTTTTGCTGCCGCTGGTTTAGAAATAAGGACGCTTAGGCTCAGAAAGCGCGTAACGTCCACAGTCACACCGCTGGCAATAAATCTGGGGGTAGGTTTCTAGCCCCGTATTTTTCCAACACATCATTTCTTCTTGTCTACTTACAAGCCACACGTTTTATCTATTTATCCATTTTTACTTATTTTGATGTTTTAACTTGGGACTTCTACTAAACTCAGTGGGATCCAGGCTCGGCATATTGTATTATTCTGTGGGACCAACACTAAGAGCTAATAGTGACTCACAGGCTCCTTGGTGCAGAACAGCATTGTTTATTTATTTATTGTTTCCTCCAGTGCTGGAGATGGAACGCTTTTCATTGAGCTATGCCCCAGCCCCTTCTTTTTTTAAATTTTGAAATGCGGTCTTGTTAAGTCGCTAAGTTGACCAGGATGGGCTTGAATTCAGGATCTTCCAGCCTGACTCTCCCAGACTCCTGGATTCCAGTGTGGGACGCCACACCTAGCCAGAAAGGCATTCTTAATTTCCATCCGGTGCATTAGAGTAAATCCAATTGTAGAACTTCAGAGTGTCTCTTGCTTGGTACTGTGTGTATCTTTAACTCAATTTGATGTTGCCTGGGAACCAGAAATAATTTCACTTTTTAAAAATAAAGTGAAACTTTAAAAAAAAATCATTTAACAAACTGTTAATCTTTTTATTCAAAAGCTGGCCAGAGCATCACCCACAAGGGGTCTTTCACTGGAATGTAGAAGCTTTTAAGACAGGCTGAGCTTGGCTTTGGGAGAGGGGAAGTACTTTCTCCATAATTTTATGTCATAAAATGGGATTATTATGCTACATCTACAATGACTCCAAATGATGCAAGGTGTACAGTAACCGTACTTGCAAGAAAGTTTTGTTAAGACCGATTTTCTCCAGCCAACCAACCTACAAGCAGAGCAGTGTCTGGGCACTCTGGCATCCTGTTCACCCCGGTGAGAGAAGGCTACAATGCTTCTTCCCACACGTGCGCCAGTATACACAACACAGGAGAATGAGAATTTTGTCTCTGGGCACTATTGATAGACACTTGGTGATTTGGCCATTTACAGTGGGCCTAACTTGAAGAATTATACCTATAGGTACACAGTTTCAGTGTTTGCTAGGCAAAGCCCACATTCAATGTTTTCTGTTCCTTTCTCTGAAATATAATGTGAACAGAGAATGAAAGTGGTTGGCTCCATGGTCCTAATTCAAAGGGAAGCAAAAAAAAAAAAAAAAAAAAAAAAAAAAAAAAAAAAAAAAAAAAAAACATTTAATTTTCCCACACTGTAAGCCTACATTAGCAGGAAAGCACTGAAGACGTGGTCTGGGGTCCCTTCCTGTGATCAGGAGAATATCACAGAACAGAGTGGGGCCCAGGGAAAGAAGCCAGGGATTCCAGGGGAGGGAAGCCTTTTCTTTTTTGTTTTCTCCCCTGCTCTTCCAGCCTGGATCGGATGTCAGCACTCTGCTCCTGGTGACAGAGGTAATCTAACCAGCAGTCCTGTTTTGTGGAGAAGAGTAAAAGGAAACCTAAATATTGCCATCGGTTTTTCCAGGATAGAGAGCCAGTAGATTGGCTGAACAGGGAGAGCATATTTACGTGATGTAGCCTGAAGCTCAAAAATTCATGGGAAGAAATAACTCCCTGACTGGGAACCCAGTCATGAGACCAGTTAGAAATGCATGCATCCGTGGATCTGGTCCCATATACTTCTCAGCTCTGGTTAAAAGTGGTGAACTGGTCGCTATCGCTCTGCCTCTCTCCCCTAAGTTAATTCTATCAGCTTCTAAACAAACTGCATTATTTCTAATCTACACTAAAAAACAAACAGACCTCACTGTACCCCCGTTCTTTAATTCTTATCCATTGATTTACTCCCCTTAATGTCAAGAATCCCCCAAAGCTTTATCCATAATATGACTCTTCACCGCCCCCCCCCAGCTGCTTACCCTACTCCAGTCCCCAAGACTCCACTGAAACAACTCTCAGGTAATTGTGGTCAGCTGGTGTCACTAGCGGCC